CTATACCTATGATTATTTGGGGAAATAAATGCTGACTTTTTGTTGTAAATATCTTATTGTAAACAACCCTCAATATGAACCAATAGTTGGAAAGTTTAGAGAAACTTTATTGGAAATATTTCTCAATTGGGTTGAAAATAATTTCTAATACTTTATAGATCTGCAAAGATATGATTAGAGGGCTCTTTAAAGGCTTTATATGTGATTTTTTGATCCAGCAGATGTCGCCCTTGAGCACCAGCATGAAACCAAAACAACTCGCGCTGCATTGTTGTGTTAGCATGCTAATGCTAGCGATCTTTATTATGCTGGTATCTTCACACTGCATGTAAATTTACCTGAAATGAGCGTGATCTAGAAACACAGTTAAGCAGTGAGTACAGTATGTTATTCTTCTTTTCTCTAGTCCCTCAATTAAACAACTTTTGTTCGTGAGGGGAGGAATCAGCCGTCCGTCCGGGCGATGTAAACAAACTAAAGATAGAACTCTGAAAACATCACAGACAGTGGGACTCGGGTGTTACACCCATTGTAGACAGTCATGACTCACAGAGTTATTTTCAGAGGATATACTTGATATCTATTATATTTAAGTGTGAAAAATCACATATAAAGACTTTAAAGTCAAGAAAAATGAAAAAATTACCTAATCACTGTCTTTATCAGGGTTATCTTGTCTTGACCAGATATAAGTTTTTTTTTAATGCTGCTTTGTCTCTGTAGATCAACTGTAAGGTGTTGATCAGACTGCCTACTCTAGATCATTGCAGATATGAAAGATTTTTATAATTTATTTGTTGTGTAGCTTGTGTCACCTTTGCCTAGGTTTATATTTCCTGGTCATACTTCATGCCATCCTCTTCTGTCTGCTGTTGGTGGACCTGCTGGTGCCACTCTGACGCACTCCAGATGCAGAAACTCAAGAGACTCAAAGATCACACGTGCTGCAGAATAACTTGATTGAATCCCTTTGTGCCAATCAGATCCCAATTTGTCCCGAAGTGAACACTGGCCAGAGCCACTCTGAAGGAGCCGGTTGGCATCTCAGCCCTGTCTCCTGCGCCACTCATGTTCCTTCTTATGTAACTGTCCCAGCCGAGTAATTGTATCATCTGTGTGCTGTGCGATATCGCGGGCCAACAGCTCTGACATGATTTCCAGCACTAAGTGCCGGCTAAGTGTTGGGTCATCTTTTCTGTAACCACTGTGTCTTATTGATGTATGAGTGATTACTCAATGTGTGGTGCTTCATCACCCACAATTAGTTTACAGACTGTGAAATGTCATCAGTAAGTCAAGGGTGTTTTTTTCCCTTACAAGGTCAGTGAAGGCTCAGTGTGGGTAAGCACATAAGAACAGCGTAAACAAAGCCTGTGGAAGATACAGCCTCTCTCATCGCTGCTTACAAAGTGATGGTTTCAGAGAACACGATTGGTCTTGGTTGGTAAATTTAACACAAAGACAATATGAAGGCTTCACCAGAAGTTTTGTAAAAGTATTCATGTTCTTTCCAGCAGAGGTTTAAGAAACACCCAGAGGCTTTACTGAAGTATAAGAAACAAAATCGCAATGTAGAAATTAGGGATGGGAATTGAAGGTGTTCACGATACGATACGATATGATCTGATATGCATTACATGGCCCAGGATAACAAAAATATCACGATCCAGTGATTCTGGAATTTATATTTTGCAATAAATTATATAACGATGTATATCTCGTTAACTGACGAATACATAATGCCCCTAAAAAGTTTAAGGTCTGGGGCGCTGGTGGCGCAGTGGTTGGTATGGAGGCAGTGGTCCGCAAAACGGGCGGCCCAGGTTCGAATCTGGCCTGTGGCTCCTTTCCCGCACGTCGTTCCCTACTCTCTCTCTCCCAGATTTCTAGCTCTGTCCACTTTCCTATCTCTCCATTAAAGGTTCAAAAAACCCAAAATTAAATCTTAAAAATGAATACACATTTTAGTAAGTGAGAAGTCTGTGGAACTTCACATAGGCTTAATTTTTCTGTAGCAGAGATTTCCTCTAAATAACTAATAAGAGTTCCATAATTTAAGTTATCTCCAGAAAACATTTTCATGATGTAAAAAGTATTCAGCAGGTTAAAGAACCCCAAAAAGATTGTTGAAATGTGATGCCTTAAAGTATATTAACATATATGTGTGTTAATCTTGCTGTTAGTTTTGTTGATTTTCATGTTGACCCCATCTTACTCCCATCATAACTTTGCATAGCTCCAGATTACCAGGGAAGTTAAACCAGCCCTTAAACACCTGTTTATTGGGTGTAATTTATGCCCACAAACCACTTTCAAGATGGCCAAAGTGAGAAGCTAAAGAGACATTTTTTAGCACAGAAAAGCTATGTTCTTCTGTTTTCATCATAATGCAATAATGATCACTAATAACAAAATTCTACTTAGATGGGCGCCGGTAGCCAAGTGGTTGGTGCGGAGGCTGTGGTCTTCCAAGCAGACGGAATAAAAACCTTAAAAAAAGAATAAATTCTTCTTAGAGAATCTTCGCCACAAACAAACCGGCATGTGCATCTTGGAGGATGAAGGACAGTTCAAATATTTTAATTAAAAGGCTTGTGGTTTATTATGCATGTGTGGCAGTTAAAATCGCTTCACTGGTCTGGTCTGAAAAATGTAGGTTTACAGGCTTGGGACTGACCTTTACATGGTGAACAAAGACTGGGTGGATCATTTCGTTTGCCTCTCTTTGAGATGCATTCACAAAGTCGAGGAGGAAGTGGAAGGAAAATGGGAACAGCTCTATGTGAATGCAAGTGGTATAGAGGTTAATCATGCACACAGTATTATGCAACGGCCTCACAATTGTCCTTCAGTGCTTGTTAAACATTCACAGAGGGCACTGGGTCATATGAGCCTGCAGGTGAGACGACTGGGGGAAAAATACAGACGTTCTTTATTATTCATGATTCATATACTTTACTGCACGTTTTCTCTCTCTCTGATCTTGTCGTTCTTTCTCTCGGAGGAATGTGATTGTTTTTGTGCCGAGAAGTGTTTAAGAAACGTCCTCCTCCTCACGTAATGTCCAGGGATTCCTCAGATAAGGCGTTTAGTTATTATTCTGAACAAATGCCAAGTCTGTGCAGGCGTCTTGAGGGCCCCCCCCCCCACGCCGTTTGTTTGGCCACTGAAGGAGGAATTTTCCACTTCGTCCATTCCCTGGAGAGAGCAGCTTTCTCCTTTTCTTGTTTTATAGACACAGGTGGAAGTGGTTCACAGCGGTGCGGTGTGACAGTGTGTCCAATGAGAAAATATTGATGCATCTGCGAGAGGGTGATAATCTGAGTTTGGATGGTTTGCTGTCTCACAAACTGTTGTTGTTTTTGTTTTTTTTTAGGCCAAGATGAAGCCTAATTTAGCTGCAGGCATCTAATCTGTGTCATCAGTGGCTCCCTGCTCTAACATGAAAGCATACTTTTGCACATTAACATGAAGACAATGCCGCTGTCAAGAGCCCCAGGGCAAAGTTTTTCATCACTGACGTCAAATCATTGTATTCCAATACCGCGCTGGGATTAACGACTGTGCTTAATTTAGCTGTGCATTCCTCCGCCCTGGCATTTACACCAATGGAAGCCTGTCAATGCCGTTCAAAAATAGATCACTGTCATCACTTTGTTTGAGTGACACCAAGCAACCACCAAGCGGATCCTCCACCTCGTCCAACCGGCTTTGATGCCTCTGTGCAGACAAAAGTGAAGCATGTGGGAGAAAGTTCTGAGCGTGTTTCCACCCCTGAGAAAGAAGTAAATCCCAGCGTCCTGTACAGAGGAAGTGCGTAGATGAGACGCTGTTCACTTATTAAACTAAGTGGAGTGTGTGTTTGAGTGACACCAAACCATGACACAGGGCCCTAATCCTCTTAACCCTCGCACGGCCAATCTAAGTTTATCTGAACCTGAACTGAGTTAAACGAATCACTCCTCGAGAGTCAGAGTCCAGCTGGAACAGAAACAAACATTAGCTGTCCCTTAACAGACGAGGACAATGGTTGGAATATTGAATGTCATGTTTGTGAACATGTAGGACAAAGTGTTCCTACACGAACATTACATCATGCTATGGGGACGACTGCTGAAACCTCTGTGTCTGCTGCAAAGGGAACTGAACTGTATTCATTAAACGTTTATGACTTTAAATTCAGGCTTTTACTGTCACAAAGAGGAAATGATTCCTACAGCCAGGTGTAATGTTGAACAAACAGACAGAAAGGAACAAAAATCAGGATAAAATGCATATACTGCAGGGTGCATGTTTCGATCAGTTAGTAAAGCAGTCCTGATACATCGGCCTCTCTTCAGCTGACCAAATGAAGGCAAAAAGCTAGAAAAATTCTCTTTAAAAAAAGTGCATACTGCACAAGGGGGCAACCTCTGGTGTTGACATTAAAGCCAACGTTGATTTGAATAAACTGCAGTTCCACAAATGTCCAGTTGAGGCTTGCTGCAAAAGTGAGTTGACCCCCATTAGGTCTCATGTTAAAATCCTCATTTTCAGGGCACTGGTAGCCGAGCGGTTAGCGTGCAACGCCCCATGTAATGAGGCTTCAGTCCTCGAGAGCGGGTGGGCCCGGGCTCGAGTCTGACCTGTGGCAACTTTCCCGCATGTTGTTCCCACTCTCTGTCTCTCCCCTGTTTCTGACTCTATCCACTGACCTACAGTATCTCTAAAATAAAATGAAAACCAAAATCTGCAGAAAAAAAAGCAGAATTAAGTAGGTTTACAGCCTGATTCCTAAAATAGAGTTTCTTAGAGACACCACCACGTGTGTATGATTGCATTTTTTGTGTTTACTTGTTGATTAGTTAGCTTCTTGTTAGCTCTTTCATTTCCTTTTTCATCTTTTTAAAAATATTCTCAAAATGTTCACGCGTCTGTCACTCATTATGTCGCTGAACAAACCGTCTATAATGACCACAAATCTACAAAAGCCATATGATGTCTCTAATTCTCTTATACAGAAACATCAACGTTATGAGGACTCCACCTTCCCCATGTTGGATTCTAATGACCAGATGACGCAGCAGAGCATGAGGAGGGATCCACAGGACGTGGTGCATGTAAACAACAGTAAGAGTTTGTCATCTCATTGATAACAACGTCACTGGTTACTTGAATGACAATCGTACCAGAGCTGTTTAAAGTTACCGCTAATCCAATTCTGCATTTTACTACTGCTGTTAATTCAAATGAAATCCATTTATCTGTCAGACGGCGGGTGACCTTTAATGTGAGGCAGCACAGGAAACACAGCGAGCTTTAAACAGTGTGACCAAAAGACTTTAGGATAAAGGAAGAAGGAACTCATCGAAAACATCTCTTTAGAATACAGTAGAATTAAATGAACTCAGCTGTTAAGACACTTGACCACTGAGGCCACATTTGTGCGACAACAATTTCAGCTTTAAACCTTTTTTGCCTTTCGTCGTTGGGTTTTGAGTCCCTGAAAACAGAAAGTTTTAAAATCAGGTTCCAGAGTGCAAACTTTTGAAAATAGCATCGTCTCCGTTGTCGTGTAAACTGGCAATATGCAGTTCCTCTGAAAACAGAGACATCTCGCACATGAGCATTAAGGTTCCAGTCAGTAGCCATGGGCGAGTAGCTGGACTACAACAACAATGGCGGACTCCCAGATTGTGTTTGTGCTGCTCCCTCCCAGTCGAAATTTTCTTGAAACTTACCAGCTTTTCAAGTAAGTTTTTATCCTTCCACACCGCTCTGTGGACGAGTGTGTGAGCATGTGTGTGTTGTTTCATTAGAAAGTCACACCGCCAACTAGAGGTCTGGCATGCACACTACAGCCTTTAACGTCATTTTAGTGGATGCGTGTGCACAGCGCTCGTTATCAAAACATTGTCGTCCGAACACGTTTGAAACTAAATACAATTCTCGTTCTCGTGTCAGCGTGGCCTTAGATACTTTTCAACGTGAGATTCTTCCTCCCCTCCCCTCCCTGACCTTTATGAGTTCAGCTCTTAGAAAAAGACAAAAGAAATAAAGTGCGGCTGCTGGTTCCTCCTGCTTCATTTATCCAGACCAGAGATCAAAGCATGCAGAGCAGGTCTGTGTTTTCACAGCCTGCTGATCCTCCGCTCTTTGAAGATAAAAGAGCACACTGAATCTTTTACAGGTACTTTGAAAGTCTCTCCTAACACAATGTAGCTACTTGATTTAACATCAGCGCCGTGTGTCCTGGTTTCAGTCTGGTTTAAGAGCACGCTGCAGTGTGTCTGTGTAAAAGACGAGTATCTAGTGATGGGCTCATGTAACACGTCCTACATCCAAGGAGACTCCAAACATAGCCCGACTTCTGCAGGCTGCACGTTGTCCAGCGATGTGAGCGGTGTGAAATACCACCGAGCGGTCACAGAGCGCTGCAGGCACCAAAGTGAACTTCAGCGTGTGAAGATGTGAAATGTTTACCGGGACGCTCAGCAGCAGCTCTACGTCTGAAAAAGCTGATGTGTAAGTCCCGGCTTGATTCTTATTGGTCGGTTTCGGGAGAAGTGAGCGCACTGCTGTTCCAAAAGTTATTTTGTTTTCATTACTAAAGCTTTGACTAAAACATAAAGTCATTTAACTCTTTTATTGGACGGATGAAATGATCTCCACCTGTGGAAAACGAAAGAGGGAGTAAAGACAAAGTCATCTTCTGAGGGATTTCATGTATCACAAAGGACGCATTGCAGACGCCAAACATCCGGTAAAAGCGTCTGCTCCTCATCGTCTTTTAGTTATCCTACCTTTCAAAATGATGCACAATGACAACTGCATTTTACGAAGGACTTCAAGCCAGGTGTAAGATTGAACTTGTAACTAACGCTGACGTTATCAGTGCATAAACTCAGAATAACAAACTCAGCAACGTCTGAACTAACGTGATAAACGTCATAACCCCCGCCCACTCACTTGTGTTGTTACAATTCACACAGCAGACGCTTTTATCCATCAGAGAGTAAGTACAACACTAATCCATTCATACACCGCCACCGAAGCAGCGGGAGCAACGCGGGGTTAAGTGTCTTGGCCAAGGACACGTCGGACATGTTGGGGATGGAACCCTCGACCTTCCAGGTTGACTGGCGGCGACTCTACCAGCTGAGCCCCGTGTTGTATTTTCTGATTACCTGCTGAATACAGACATGGACCCACACTCACTTCTTGCGGACGTGGATAAAGTCAGCGGGGGGGGGAAATAGTCGTTTGTGTTCACATGAAGCTTACCCGGACAATTTCTGGGAATTACCAAGAGTGCAGTGTATTTGTGAAAGGGGTTAAACAGCTTACATACCGAAGAATTCTGCAAAGTCTTCAGGCTTCCTGTGTCCAAAGAGTAGATTATCAACCCAGAGAATAAAGGGCATTTATTGAACTGAAAATCTTCAAATATTTCACCTTCATGTCTACGAGAAACATCAATCTCTCCTGTGGTCAAACAAAGAGCCTGAATGTTTGAGCTCTGACTTTTAAATGAAACCTTGTGACATTTTAAGACAAACATTTCCTGAAATATTCCGTATTAAACACGAGCGGACGATTACTGCGCCCACGTGCCTGATAAAGACTTTTATAACCGTTTGATCACGAGAGCGGAGGCTCCATGAGCTGAATCATGGGAACCAGAGGCTCGATCACCAGTGCGGACTTGAACGCACTTCTTTGTGAATCATATGACGAGGAGGCGAGACACAGGAGAGGTTTACACTTCTACAACTCACATTCCTGGCCTCGTCTTTGCTTTCCCTCTCCGTCTACTGTATGCACACTTTTCCCACTCGTGTCTCTGCTCATGGGAAACGATCACAGACTGCATTCCAGCACAGAAAACACATGAGAGGAATTAAGCTAATATCCGTTGAGAGAGTTATGTAATGCTGCATGTACTCGGCACGCGCCGGCCCTCAAACCTTTATTTTGATATATTTGACTCTCAGTTAGCCCCATGAAGCCGATAAGACGACCGGCAGGAATGCTTAGTATCATTCAAGAGAATCAAATATAAACTGAATCTCCTTCCTTTTATTAATGTTGGTGTTTTTGAAGAGGGGAGTCTTTTAGTAACAGACTTGTTTAAAACACATTACATGATGTTATTTGAAGAGTTGGGTCCACAGCCTGCATTTCATGTTTCTGTATTGTTGGGTTTACCTTTAAAAAACGACGATAATATCACTTCAGTTTTGTATTAAGTCGTAAAAGACAGGTTAAATAAGAAGATCTGTAAACTCAAATCATCCCTTCCAGCTCATGAAATGATATCAATCCCTTGTAGTCTGATTTGGGATCGATCCATGTTAAAGAAGAGGCCTGAAACCTTGAAGTGTTTTTTTTTTTTGACTTGAGTTCCTCATTTATACTTGCTATTAAACCGATCACACGTGTAGACAACCGGCTGCATCGTGAATCTAAATATTCACATACTTGCCTGTGTACAACGTGTGTTACTGGAGAATTCCTCTAGAGGGAGCACCACATAAATCAGACCTCATAAAACAACGTAGTAGAGATTGCAGTTCAAAACTTTCCACCATTGTTTGTTGCAGTGTAGCAAGCCGTTAAAATACAAAACTTTAATTTTAGTTTCGGAACAAGTGATCTGTGTTTCAAAGAAATGATTCCCGACATAAATCAAATAGAAGAAAAGATTTCACTTTTGATTTTCTCTTTCCATGAAGGAGGGAACAAGCGACGTCTCCAAAGTCGATGATGGTCCGTTTTCTGCCTGACCCAACAGCTGGGTTGTGGGTGTCAGCTGGATTATTCATCTTCTCTGTGCATAATTGGGATGAGCGGAGCCTCTGTGCTTCTGTGCTCTGGGCAGCAAGAATCCCGATACAAACCCATCATTCAGAAGAATAAAGAAACTCTGATTCCGGCTCCGGCCACAAGGCTCAGATGTCAGCTGTAGCGGGTACATGACGGGGGTCTGTGAGAAGAATGCAGCGGGGGATTAACAGGCTCATTTAATCTGACTCCATGAATGGATGAAGAGGAGGGAAGGGAGAGGGGTAAACAGGTCTATGCTCAGGGTGTGTGTGTGTGTGTGTGTGTGTGTGTTGTCACTGTAATAGAATCTGATCTTCCCGACAGCTTCAGGAAAATGGAAAATAGTTTGAGTTACAAACGTTCCCTACACGTTTTAAATGACAGGAAGCATTATTCAGTAGACAAAGGTGCATCAGTGACACAAACATAGCGTCTCTTCTCCTCTGAGACAGCAGAGAGCGAACGCAAACTGACTCATGCTTTACGTTTCTTACACACGGGCGCTACAGAGAGATTTTCTTTCAATGCAGAAAGACGCTGAAGACAAAATATAGAGCAAGACATTAAAAATGAACAGGAATTAAGTTCTGCATCCATTAAAACAAACAATAGAAAAGAAAGGACGGTCGGTATATTTAAAGCTGCCATGAAAAACTATATCTTCAAATATGTGCCTGATAAAAAAAAAAAAAAGTAAATGTATGTATCACCCTGAAAATACTGTAATATGCTGTAAAAACAGTCTCCGTATGTAAAGTCCCATTTAAAATTATCTCTCAATAAAAGTCGAAGAAGTCACTTTAAAGGAGTGTTGTGTTTACTTAAGAAGCATGTCGACCTCTTGGGATCGTCGAGAAGTGCTTTCACACTTGCACAAAACTCCTCAAACTCCTGAAGTTTTCAGAGATAAGCTGCATGTGTGAACGCAAACAGAGACGTTTTTCACCCAGATTTTATCTGTGGTCTCTCCTATCAGCCTCATAGTATTTTTTCCACTTGAAGTCAGGGTAAGCTGGTGTGAGAATGCAGCAGGATATAATCAGGAGAATTCAGCTCGAGCTAATGGGAAGGGGGGGGGCGGGGGATAGGGATGACGTTTTCCCTGTGCTCAGTTGCTGATGCTTCCTTCCACATCTTTTTACGTCATGTCTTGCCTCAGGAGACCCCCCCCACCCCGTCCCCCCCGTCCCCCGTCAGACAGTGATAGTCTCTCGCTGTGAGGTAAATCTATGAACATCCAGATCAGGAGGATTTCAGGGGGCAGTCCTCCTGAAATTCTCTAAAAATGTTCACGAGTGCTTATGGGGAAACGGTTTAAGAGAAGGTCACTCAGAGCCCACCAGGATCAAAATGACAGAAGGTGAAACAGTCCCTGTCCTGTCCCTGTTGAATTTCTATAAATCAACATGCTTTCCTCGCCTTTAAGATGTGCGTTCAGCTTCACTGAATTCATCATCAGGAGCTTAACTTTTTACTCAGACCTTGTCTATTAAATACAATCAGTTCTGTCCCATTGATGATCTTACCTCGAGATAATAAAAATGATTCATGCATCACCTCCGACTGTTTGTCTCTGGACGACTGAATGAAGTCTATACCGAAGCGGTCCTGTTCCAGCTGCTTGTTTTTAAGTCAGCAACAACAGCTGGATGAGCAGGGACACAAACATGCTGAAATCAGGACAAAAAACACACTCAGACATCAAACTTTAAGAGATTAAAAGCTCAGGATGGTACTGCCTGTACGGAGGGAACTGGCACAGTCTGTACTGATGCTGCAGAATTTTTAATCTCCCTGCTGCACGGAAAATGTTAAACTAAAAAAAAAAAAAAAAAGATCCACCCTGCAGGTTATCGTTTCTATCACGTCCGTCTTAGGTGGAGACTTCAGGGGCCCGTGCGTGTTATTAGGAATACCGACTGTGCCCTCGGGGCCCGGAGAAATATTTTGATGTCACGAGTGTTTCCCTGCAGAGACTTCAGTGAGCGGAGCGATTCCCAGCAGCACCGTGGGCGATTTGGGGCTTCACCTCCTGCAGATGTTGCTCTCTCCTTGGCTCGGACTCAAGTGTGTCTGGCTAATTATAGCAGCCCGCCGGCCGGGACGGCTTCAGACATCTGGTGTTATGTGCATTGTTACTCCTCGGTTTGTGACGGACTCCCGCAGGACAAAGTTCACTATGAGACGACACCTTGTTTTTGTTATTTTATCTGCGCTCTGTGCTGGGTTGTAACGAGGCAGAAGGTCACACAGCTTTAATTGCAGATTCATTGATGGAGGATGAAAAACATTTAGTCGCTGAGCTGTCAACAATTATACGAGTCAAGTGATCACTTATTTAAAGGAACACTGCACCGATAGAGCAGCTCTGGTTCCCAAAGTAAGAACCATTGTAGTAAACTATTGGTTTTTTAATGGAAAGGATTTTCAGAGCAACTCAGGAAACTCTTAAAGACTTTTGTTGAAACATTTATAAAGAGAATAATGCAGCAAACAAAATGAGCACCATTAGTAAGCGGGGCGAGTGGGAGCCAAATGTTTACTGGAAACTGTAAAATGTTTGAAAAAAGTTAAAGGAAATATGGGGAATATTTTCCACTAGTTTAACAGAATGAGAGAAACCTCAACACACTGCCAGTAGCTTCAGAGTCTTCTACCAATCACTGGTTAGTTATGGAGACTGACGTGATGATGACTTGGTCTTTAGTGCTCTTTAAAGGCTTTATATGTGATTTTTTGATCCAGCAGATGTCGCCCTTGAGCACCAGCATGAAACCAAAACAACTTGCGGTGCATTGTTGTGTTAGCATGCTAATGCTAGCGATCTTTATTATGCTCGTATCTTCACACTGCATGTAAATTTACCTGAAATGAGCGTGATCTAGAAACACAGTTAAGCAGTGAGTACAGTATGTTATTCTTCTTTTCTCTAGTCCCTCAATTAAACAACTTTTATTCGCAAGGGGAGGAGTCAGTCGGCCGTCCCGGCGATGTAAACAAACTGAAGATAGGACTCTGAAAACTCTGAAAACATCACAGACAGTGGGACTCGGGTGTTACACACATTGTAGACAGTCATGACTCACAGAGTTATTTTCAGAGGATGTACTTGATTTCTATTACATTTAAGAGTTAAATAAAGCGTTTAATATCTGCAGGGTGAGACCTAACCTAACCCGATCTACTGAATACAATTCAACACAAAAGTTAACCTCTGTTAGAACTTTAGTTGGGAAAGGGCCTCACACTGTGCTTCTTACTGGTGTTGCATGTCTGGTGTTTTTTTTTTCAAATCCAGCAGCATCTTCAGCAGCTTATTCAAAGTCAGGAACAAAGTTTTTTTATATAAAATAAATACATGCAGGCATTAGAACGTGTCTCATTGTTACCCTATTGTGAATTTTCCTTATGAATAAAGTATTTCAGATTCTATTAGTAAACAGGGTGGATACACATTGATGTCTCTCTTTCAGCAGCCACGCACTATATCCAGAATTCTGCTGCTCGTCTTCTCACACGTGTGACCACATCACCCTGTTCTTTATAATCTCCACTGGCTCTCCATCCCCGAGCGTATCCACTTCTTATTATCACATTCAAAGTTCTCCAAAACCTGGCTCCCCGCTAATTGTCTGAGCTCAAACATCGGCACACTCCCACCTACACTTTCAGGCCTTGCAGAGCAAACCTCCTCTCCCCTTTCCCTGCAGGACTAACCATGAGTCCTGGGGGGACAGCACGCTCCCACCCTCTGGAACTCACTCCCAAAAAACATCAGACTCACCCCTCACTCTCCACCTTCAAGAAATCCCTAAAAGCTGACCTCCTCAACAACAGGATTTCTTCTTTGTATTATATTCATTGTTTTCTTTGTTAAGCGTCTTTGAGTATTCAGAGGTTATTAATCAAGTGAGAAGTGGGCTCATTTTCTAAGATTTCATTTAATTGGAAATTTTTATGTAGCTAGTTGAGTCTCATCTCCCTGCTGGTCATTAGTTAGTATGCAGGTTTAAGACACTTCTGCGTTGGCTTCACTTTTGAAATGCTTCTTCCATCCATTATGTGTACCAAGCTCATAGAAAGTGAGTACTTGGGACATTTTTTTTGCAGAAATTGAGAATCTAAGTTATAAAATCAATGATGCATTCAAAAACGTGGAGTTCTGAGACATATTGGTTGAAAACATCTCCATCCTCGACCCCCACAACTGTCCCCGAAACGTGTTTAAAGGATTAAATCAGAAAAAAATAAAACTGCTTCAATTAGCCACTCTTAATCTGATCTCTCTCTGAGGAGCCCCCTGTGTAGATCAAAAAGTGTCCCTGCATCATTAAGCTCTGGACAGCTTGTTTCTCTGTAGCTTCGGTTTGAACAACACCCACAGGTAGGCCGAGAAACAAACGACCTATTATGAGCACTGGTGGCAGATCAGCGTGTTCTGTCCTGGACCTCCTCCCTCTAACCTGGCCTGATGTCAAGCTGCTGGTGCTCAGCCCCCCGCCTCCGTCTGCCTCCTCACATCTACTTCACAATTACAGCCTGTCTGATGGAGTGCTAATCATCATCAGGACCCGCTCCTGTGTTTCTGCTGTAGCTCTGAATCCGTCAGGCTTCTGCTGATGGGGCAAATGTGCCGACAGGGCATAAAAAAAAAGGAAACAAATTGAGGAATTAATTTACCCGGGACATTTGGGCCACTTGAAGGTCAAGCATTTAAGCGTGTGGTTTTTTTTTTGAATTTACAAGGTTTTTGATTTTTGCAGAGCATGTTTCTCCAAAAGGAAATTGGCCAATCGTTGGAGCTATTTTACATTATTATACAATAATATTCAGATTTGCTGATATTTTAGTCATTTTTAAGATTGTAGTTATTTTGTTCTAGGAAGGTATGTGATTAAGTTTGATCACATTAGCTTTCTTATTTGGAATAATTCAGTATTATGTAATAACTTTGGTGAGAACCTGGAGAACAACTTTCTCATTGCAGTACGATGTGCACTCTCCAGTGATTGGACACGATCACATCCCAGTCAAGTTGTCAGCTCACCTGAGGGTGGCAAACATCAAGGTGAGGCTTAATTAATTAAATCATTTATATGATTATATTATATAATAATTTAACACAAACCATGAGTCATTGGCTCCACCACTCATTTTCATAATGTTTGCATGCTGAGTGTGGATGTTTGAAGTATTTCAATAAAATGTATATATTTCTCATTAATTAAAGGAGCAATATGTAACTCTGACGCCTAGTGTTTAAAATTGGTACTGCAGTCCAAATTCAAAACATTATAGAGAGCTGTCTCCCCCCGCCCCCTCCTCTCTAGAGTCGATGCTCACGCAGGTTGCTGAAGCTTCAGTGTTTAGCCAGCTCTGCATCGATCTGTAAACCTTCCTGCGCTTTAACCTCTTTCCATTTAACAAAAAAAAAAAAAAGGAGCATCTCCAATATTGATCCTAGTTTGAGCACGTTTCTGCTCGTGGAGCTTATTACAAACATGCAGAGGCTTTTTAGGTCGGGTACAATCACTTCTATCTGAACCACTTCTCTTGACTGCTTCCATTGCTGCAACACCTGTTGACCTGATAACTGCTCTCATATCTGGCAAACCGAGGGGCTTCCAAAACGGCCGTGTGAGGGTGCCTTAAAATGTGGCGCCAAATCCAGACCATCCAGGACCGGAATCTCAACTAATCTATGCCAGGAGGACATACTGGCTGCTGCTTTTTAGACAGAGAAGCTAGCTCTTCA